AGTTCCAAAATCGTTGCAATGCAGCTAAAACACATCCATGTATTAAAACCAATAAGCAGGTTCAAATTAAGGTCGGGCCAAATTCACCTAAGCCTTCAAACGTCGATTTGCAAGCCCCCGTTAGAGTTGAAAGTCGGTGCTAGGGAGCTAGTATGTGTAGCCTTTAAATGCGACTGTGTGCGCGGCTTTGTAGTGTTCAAATGTCAGCGCCAACTTGGCTGTCTTCATCAACCAAGAAAAGGTGAATATATTGCTAAGAGCAGGAGTGTGGGAGGACACGATATCATGAAAGTCTGCCGTCGAATTGCTAAAAATATATGAGTTCCGAAGAGATATATTCTTGAAAAATTAAAATGCCTCGGAAACAAGTAGAATTCTGGATGCTAAGAGACGGGTGAATGCGTAAATGACTTGATTGCAATGTGCTACACTCACACACAGTTTCTTCACAAATTAGTGAGATTACCTGAAGACGATCGGCATCGCTGATCCCCTGCCCCACACATTCAGTTCTCTGTCTTCGTGAGCGCTCCAATAAACGCGCTCACGACGTACCACCTTCGTCTGGTAACTGCACAAGGACACGGATTTGTTGATCATTCTGTACATTTATCGGTAGCACACGTTTTGATTGATGCCACTGTATACATCTACTATCAATCATTATTTCCATTGTAAATAATCCTTTAGAAGCACAACATAGTTGAGATGCTGTACATTGTCTTGGGGGTGGAACGTTTACTATATTGGTCTTGATTTAGTCTTTGTTTAAATTTTGTTTCCAACTAGGCACCACTTCAAATTTGCACAATCGACAAGGTGCGCTCATGATGAATGCTATTTAAATTTGTCCAAATACTAGTGACAATAATTATCGAAATTCCCTAATACTCTGTTATTCGATGTGAGTTCGAGTTTGAAAGTGATCACGCGCCAAAACTGGCTATCAGAAAAAGACTACTTAACCCACCAGAACCAGTTATTAACATTGCTCTCTGTATTATGAGAATTCGATTTGAATCCGAGACAATGACAGCATCGGCAACACCACTTCGACTTTGCCAAAAAGTGAATTCACCAGTGTTTGTCAACACACGATTCTCCATTCAGGCTAGAATATGCACACTCGTTACTTAAGCGTTTCGGGTTTCGTTTGTAGGTACCTGTGTTGGATTTTTTAAAATCGATGCAGTGGAAGTCTGACAAATCCTTCTATTACAGCACACAATATTGGTCGAAGGCGGGTTAGTTTCTATTGGTCAATTCAAAGGTTATTTTTGAAGGTCGGGTCTACAAGCGAGCCAACACATGGAACTAAATGAGATGTCAAAGGTCAATGGCGCGTGTTTTCGTCAAAATTCAATTAAACTAAACACATGTTTTGTGGAATTACTGTTCAAAACTGTAGCAGTGAAATTATTTTTTTGGCATCCGACAGATTTGTGAAGAGGTCGTGTGTGTGTGCGTGCAGCACTTTGAAAACGAATAACTATCGCGTTCACTCGGCTATTAGTATCCAATCTTTTCCGGAAACTATTTCTTCGGAACTCATATATTTTTAGCAATTCGACGGCAGACTTTCATGATATCGTGTCCTCCCACACTCCTGTTTTCAGTAATATATTCACCTTTTCTTGGTTGATGAAGACAGGCAAGTTGGCGCTGACATTTGAACAATACAAAGCCGCGCACACAGTCGCATTTAAAGGCTACACATACTAGCTCCCTAGCACTGACTTTCAACTCTAATGATGTTTGCATTTTTCGTGTTTGTTGACAAATATAAGCTGTCCCTACGGGGACCAACCTCTGCGCTTTAATACAAGGGATAATCGAAGCAGTAGTGAGTCTGCCTTGATTGATTTTGGTAAATCAAAGCAATTGAAATATTGGCTTGAATGTAATTTATCCTGTCTCTATGCGTCTTGCTTGACTTGTCTTCAAGAATTTAAGACGCATATCTACACACGCAGACACATACGCCCTGCGAACGATTCGGTCCATCACCAAGGTTAGCTGTAATGGAAATGTAAACTTTTTGGCACAAATATGCTTTTTTTTCAAAATTCGAGAGCTGTAGAGGTGTTCCAATGCAGCTGCAACTACGCACCATCACCACCACCTTCGGAGTCCGCGTTATCAATTCCCCCGTGTATAAGCAAACCCACTGACCGCATTAGCTAGGTATAAAATTTCCCACGTTATTTAAAATTGCCACTGTTAGTTTACTCCCCCATTCATCTGGGAGCCATCTTTGTTTTTAATAATTGTTTAAAATGATATATTTAAGACACAGTTTCCACGATATCAAATGTTTGTCTGAGAAGGATAATTAAGTATTGCTAAATGGTCATTTCTACCACAAGCTTAAATCACAATGCAGAAGAAAATAACCAGCATGTCGTGTGGTTTCATAAAACGCAACATAAGTGATGGATGTAGGCATATCAATCTAAGATGTGCTCAACCGATTTGATTGGCTGCTGAGAAAAGTCATAAATTAATGCACAAAATACCAGCAACGGTCAACTAACCGCTTGCTTTGAATTAGCACCTCTGCTGTTGAATGACACCACTCCAAGCGAAACAGATGCAAATCTGAAGAGGCTAGGTAAGAGTAAGACGGTGATTCTGGCGGATTTGCCATGCAAACTCTCCAAGTTCTTGGAGTGTCCGTTGAGTGGCACTGGGTAATTGGTGTTGCCTTTCTGACTGACCAAATTTTGAGTTCTGGCCTGGCTTTAAACTCGGGGTTGGATAAGTTGCTCACTAAACTACCCAGGAAGTACTGTTTGGTTAGGCGAAAGGAGTTGGTGCCAATTTAGTACTCCTACTGACGTGCAACAGCATGAACCATGAATGCAATGCTTTCAAAATCGATTATTATTATTATTATTATTTTACCACAAAACACACTTTTCGTCTCCAATTGTGATCTGTTCCACGATAAGCACGTTTTTTGACCACCGAGGAGATACATGAGTGCTCAGACAGGGTTCAGTTTGTTCCGATCTGCCAAAGTGTGCAGAACCCATGTAACAGGTTTCAAGTGTATCCAAGGCGTTTCAAGTGGCACAATGCAGTCGGATTGTCAAGGGCTACTTTTAACCGGAACGTTTGGCGTTTTGATTGCGATCACAATCTTGAAATCACCTTAGCATTTACCTTATAATTCCAGCACTTAGTCCTTTTCAGCCTCACTTAGCATAACATGAGGAAAGTGCAACGGGTTATTTTCGATTCAAATACTAACCCTACTACCGAATTAATTCAAACAAACTTTTTGAAGGTCGCATTAACTCACGACGCATTTAGACTAACAGGATGATTATGAAAGAAACATGAGAATGATCAAAAGTACATACGCCTGACTTGTTCGGAAACCAGGTTGTGTCTTAAAACAGCTGATTATTGGCATGTGAAAGACAAATTACATGTTTGGCATTCGGCATTTCGATGTGACCTTGATTTAACCAATGGAAAATGAGCGTATAAAAAAAACACAACTTCTTTGACTGGTTTTAATAATGCAAAAGTTGATTTATTCTAGGCCAGCTATCTTTATATAAAAGGACGAAAATGTTAAAGCACATTATGAAATCGATGAGGAAGTATGCACATAGCCCTCTAGATAGCTGGAATAAAGGCATCTCGGCTACGTGTTAGGCATTCATCTGATTGGCTGTTGTGGCCACTCAGGTTACGAAATCAATTTAGTCAGCAATGTGATTGATCTGTTTTTGAACTTCATTCGATGCCAAACAGTATTGCACTTTAAAGCAATACATTGAAATAGTTATTTCAACAAAACTGTTGAGTCATTTACTAAAATCCGATATTTGAAAATCAAACTGTAGGCTGGGTAAATCGATTAGACACAGAAAGGCGTGTTAATTTTTTTTTTTAAATTTGCAAGTAACTGACTGTGAATCCAAGAAACGCCAGAGAACTGGACAGTTTGAAGTGTTTGCAAGCAAAAAACTGCATTTTTCCCATCCAAAGGAGGCATGTGTGTTGGCGTCAACTTTCGATTAACAATGAGTTAGATTTGGTAAAATTTTCACCTGGTAGGAACTAAGTGGTTAAGTGGCTGTCGTCTGAGTTAAGATTATTCAACTTAGATTTATTTAAAAAATTCTTATTTAGCACTGTTAAGACAAGAAAGCGTTCGCAAGTTCATTAGATTCGACTCTGAATGCGTTCGATACCAAATCGCTTGAATTCATGCACTAGGCGTGACCTTGAGGATAACTTGCTCTTACAACCCGATTAGCGCGAAGTGGAAAGTCTGGTTATCGCTAATTGGTCAGTTGAGGCAAGAGCCTAACTTATCGCATAAACTTGAAATTTACACAAAACAGCAAAAGAGACAGCGCATATCCATGAGGAGTGGATGAAAGAGGCGTTTTTCCTCGGGGCGTCGGCCACGCGTCTTTTTTCGGTCATGCGACGAATGCCCAGTCGGACACCGGCAGAATGCCGCATTGGCTGGTGTTGAGGTGGAGACAAAAAACCCAACGCCAAACAAACTAGCGCGTGGCGCCGTGGACAGTTTTTAAGGATTAGGAGAGCACACTCGTTGTCACAGAAAAATGCTCTGCATTGAGTAAATTTTCACATGAATGAGATCGCAAACAGATTACTACCGAGTAAGCCAAGCTGGGCAATCGATTACATCGAGTTGGAAGGATGTGGGATAGTTGCGACCAGTTACCATGGTGCACGACTCATCCAATTGGATGATTAGGATCCTGACCTTCAGCAAACCAACCAGCAACAGCGTCGCCGTCCAAGACGATTGGCACCCAGATTTTACCCGTAGTTTCAAATTCCCGCATCTTATTTGTCCGCCAAATAAAAAAAACACACCAAGCTTTCAGAAACCACCTTTGTTAAAAAGAAATACATAAGGAGATTTGCAAAAAAATGAGAGACGAAATCCACAGAATAAGGGGGAGTGTAGAGCAGCAGATGTCATTGGCGAGTTGACAGCGAAGGAGTCACACCATGGAGGATCGTGTGTTTTCGACGCAGGGACTGCTGTGTCGTTTGTTGGCGGTAGCCAGCACCTCCTTCACCTTGCGATAGACAGACCTCGGACGAAGCAGGTTGTAGAGGCTCAAATTCGACTTGCGGTATTCCGATATGACGAAGGTACTGCTTGAAATACATATCAGTAGGATCCAGTCTAAAAGGTCGACACCAGGCCCTGTCAATGCTCAATTTCTGACCCAAAATTGGCTGACAAAGATACACAAAACTAACATATTTGCTTAAAATTAGGTGAAGGTTGAGAGGACTTACCACTGAGATAGATTGCCTCGGTCTGGAAGACGGATTGGAGGGGTGGAAGGTAGACGACGCAGATCTGGCCAATCAACGACAAGCTCACCGCCACCACGAACACACGATTTGAGAAGAAACCGATTTCGAAAATGGACTTTTTCTGTAGCACAAAAGATCAAACAATACAACTGAGATTTTAGCGACAGATTCGCTTTCTACGTTTTCATGGACTAGAATAAACGATTTCGCTCGTGGACCTCGGAGGCAGTTTTGTTGCAAGCCCTCGTACCTCATCAGTTGATCGCTTTTACAGCAGACAAACCGCAGAAGTGCTGACGTGGTTGGATCTAGAAGGTGTCTCGAAAGCACCAACGACGAGACACTGGTGATGATTAATAGTCGTAGTTTTCTCGCTCTTGCTACGTAGCCCTAGCGTTTTTTGCCTCGCGCTGCTCAGCAGACTGAGAAAATAGGGCAAAAAGACACACGCACAAACACACAAATGCATGTCTGCACGGAGTTGACAGATAACGCCCGCAGCCACTCGGACAGGGGAGTCAAACAACGGGCGTTTGGCCACGAAGACGGCAGTCAGACAGCTGTGGTGGTGGAGGCGGAGGAGGAGAATTTGGAGGGATGAAAAGGCTGACGGGGGGCAAAGCAAAGGACGATGAGGTGCAAAAAATGGACGAAAATGAGAAGGAAGAGGCGCGAGGCCACAATTAAAGGCTCGTTTCATGCAGGTGCGAGAAGAGACTGCGACAACCCCGTCCCGGGCGCTTCCTATGACACCGACCACGCGCCCGATTCGTCGATTCCACAGTCCAGACTTGTTGTAGAATCATTCCACGAAAGGGATCATCAAGGATTACGACAGGGACGATCACGATGGAGAGTTAACGACAAATGACATGCTGGTTGGTCGACTACGATCGTCCAATCGAGTATGTCTGCGCCAATGCAAGGCCCTACGAAAAGGGTGGAAAAGGTGTCCCCTGAATTGGACAGGAACATTGGAACGGCGTGTTCCTCTTGACAATTAGCGCATAGCTTCCTCAACGTCACGTGTATGCCGTCAAAGTTGTTGACTGTGTTGTCTCCTGCAGTTTGAAACGACAGATGGAGAATATTTGGCTCCTTTTATGACCGAAGACCTCCACTTCCTCCCAGTGAACGACGGAAGTGTTTCAGAGCAAAGCGCATCACCAGCGGGCTTCGGAGATGACGCAAACCGAGGAAACGACCCAAGCTGTGGGCTGTTTTGCGCTATTCGAGTCCACACTCCCCACATCGGAACCCACGACGGCTAAGGACTTGCTGGCGATGGAAATGTTGTCAAGTTAGACGTAAACCACTTCGACACTATGAGGAGTTTGGTCCATAAACCTTTCAAACGACTTTATGTAACATAAAGTTCCGAGTTTGGAGGAACTTGTACTTTACCTGTGGCGGCAAAAGTACATTTTAGTCGTAAAGGGAACAAGGGAAACGCTGATGGATTTCAGTAATTCCAAGAAACGTGCAACAATGACGTGATAAGCAGTGATCAAACGATAGCTTTTTGAGGTTGGGTCGATTACAGCTACTAGCAACGCTAATTTCGAGTACCGAGGTAGCATATTGATGCAATCATTTTGCTCTTTTGATTCATAATAAATTGAACTCAATTATTGTCAAAAATAAAAGCAACAACTCGCCTTGATCACATGGCAACATAATGTATTTTATGGACCAATAAAATCCACACCTCCGACCTCGTTTCACGTGGCAGGTGATTGGCTAAAACGATTGCCATCAGATTTAATTCAAAAGCTCTCATCTGGATGGTAAATCACAACTAAGAGAGGTTGAAATCCCTACAATGCAAAACAGATCTTTGAACACGGCAGTGTTGAATGTTGTCGTTGCATTTGTTGGAGTTAAGCGTTTTCGCGTGAAAACAAATATTATTTTGCGAAAAAAATCAATTCCACAGTTTTAGTACCGCATTTTGATTGGTTTAAGCCCCACATGAGATCTCTTGCTAACAATGGATGAAGAAACGAGGACAAAAAGTGCTGATTTGAAGTGTGTCAGATGTGGCGGTTCAGTGCAATTCTGAGCTACGGACACGCGCAGACAGAGAAAGCAATAAAAACAGCCAGAGTGACAACTAGCTCGAATTCGGACGCAAGCATGAGGCACGCGACATCTGTTGCTAGTGTCAAATGCTGTCTGTCTGCACGGAAAAAAAAGTCACTCTTGAACAGGAGCAAATAAACAATGACTACGGGCCTAGAAACGCATGGTGGTGTCGTTGCGCGCCAAAAACGACCACAAACTGCTTCTTAGAGCGTGTCAGATGAGGTGAACGGTCCGCTGAAGCTCTGGAGCTGGTCTAGTAAGTCGATGAAGCTAGCAGATTTGCGTAGACCACACCGGGATCAACAAATTCACAGCTGCATAACGTCTGTTTGAATAGTATCGCATGGGAATCAGTTTCTGAGAGAAAATCGCTACGTGAATTCAATTGTCCAACCTTAATTTCTGGGGAATAACGAGGAGCAATGAAAAGGAGGGATCCACCAAGGTGATTGAACAACTTCAAGGTCACATCAAATTAGCGACCTTGACGACCAGCCAATGGGAAATCAGTTCACAAATTGACGAATAAATTTGCATGAAAGTATATCGATTTAACTCAGAGTAAAATTGACAAAATAGGGAGAAGGGGGTTTGAAAGATTCTGGGAAGAAATCTCCGAGGCGAGTCGGACCCGTGAAGACAAAACTATTAACGCATGTTGAAACGGTTATCCGGCGTATTTTGGCTGCACGATAACACACAATTTGACACCAGTGAGGGTCGATTGGCACAATTTATGCCAAATCACGACTTGAGCGAGGTGGACGACATGTTATGGGATTCGGAATTTTAAAAAATTAAAACACGCCTCCGTCAAAGAAAAGGAAAAAAATTAGCGAAATCATTAATTTAAATGCAAGTAACATGCGTAGATGAAATGAAATGAAGTGCAGACGATGACATTATCAAGAAAAAACTGGTATCTGATAATCGATGGGGACTTTTACGTGAACAGATGCACTAACCAATGAGGTTGAAGAGATTTTGGGCGGGCTGCATAAAATTGATTGGTCCAAATTTTAAAAATCGTAGTTAAAAGACACGGAGAGAAAATAAAAGCGAAGTGAATTGTTTCCGATTAAAGCGCCACAAAAACCTCTAGACGTACCTGAGATCGACAGGAGAGGGCGTTGAACATGTCAAAGAGGACGAAACACGTGAAGGTCATTGTGGTGTCACGTGGCGTGACCTTCCCATCGACGGTCATTTCGCGGTGGAATATGAACAGGGTGCCACAGAAGATGGTGAAGGCAGAGATGATGACATTGGTCATGAGGCGACGATCGAGAATCGAATCCTGCACGTGACGCGGTGGCTGATTAATTACCTAAATGATCGTGGTGGATTGAGATGTACTAGATTGCTTACCAGATGCGCCATTGTAATAACAATCTACTGAAATGAATTCAGTACGCAATCGTACCAACTCGAGTTTAAATACTACTCACGTCTTTATCAGGCGGTTCGACACCAAGTGACTGAGCCGGTGGTCCATCCATTAGAATATTAATGTAGAGGATTTGCATGGCGTTGAGTGGATTGGGAAGCGACAACACGGTGGAAGCAGCGATCAGCGATAAAGCGGCAATCGACCTGAAAAAACAGCCACGAATACATTAATTAATAAGCTTAAGGTTATTGCCGAGACACAAAAGTGGCTTACGTGCTCAGCTGAAAGCGCACGAAGTTGCAGATATTGCCAAATATCGCCTTGCCCTCTTCCATCGCCGAGAGGATGGACGAGAAGGCGTCGTCGACAAGGACGATGTCCGCGGCCTCTTTGCAGACGTCGGTGCCGCTCTCACCCATCGCGATTCCAATGTCGGCCGACTTCAGGGCGATGGCGTCGTTCACACCGTCGCCGGTCATAGCCACGATCAGGTGGCGTTTCTGCAGGGCCTTAAGACATTAAAACACAAGTTTCAAACAAACTCGTGACTTAGACGGCATCTGGTAGCGTCGGAAAGTGCAGAAAATGGTTACCTTGACGATTTTGCACTTGTGCTGGGGTCCCGTACGATAGAAAACAGTGACGCCGTGGATCTGTGACTGCAGCTGATGCAGATTCATTTGTTCCACCTCCTCACCACTCAAGCAATTGTCACCCGACCGGTACAAGGAGAGACGAGATCCTGACATGAAAGAAAGTAGCTACTAATTTGAATGTCAGTAGCAATACTTTTCAGTAATGCTGACACGCCTAAATCGTGACTACACTCACCAATAGCACACGCGGTCTCCATTGAATCGCCAGTAATCATGATGACACGCACACCCGACCTAAAGCACGTCTCCACCGCGTGCTCCACGTCGGGCCTCGGCGGGTCCAGCAGACCAACGAGGCCCGAGAAGATAAAATCGGCGTCGGCGGAGACGCCTTCGGCGAGCGCGAGGACACGCAGCCCACTAGTGCCCATTCGACGGGCTTCGTCAAGGAGGCTGTTCCTCGTCGCCTCCGTCAGAGGCTGCACCGAGCCCAGACCGGAGTTGCAGCGTTCGCGGTACCACGCGCAACGATTGAGCAAGCGATCGGGGGCACCCTTTGCGAAGAAACTGGACTGACAGGGATCCTGCGGTTAGAAAAACACATAAATCCGTTGACGGAAAAAACAATTTATTGAAAATAATATGAAGAAAGAAGGTTTGTTGTGTTCGTCTACAAGGGACCAATGAGATGGCGCGGTGAAGGACGCGTGATTATTGGTCCAAATGTACTGAGTGTGAAGTCATTTTCTTCCTGCAATATCACAGACGGAGCGATTCTACCAGTTTGATGCCCTATTAAATTACGTAATCAAGTCTTAAGTGGCTTTACACACTTCAGGGCCGTAGCAACTAGCGCGGAAACCCATTACCACAAGCGTGGGTCATTAGAAAGGCAAAACAGCGACAGAAGCGTGACTCCGACACGCGGGTGAGGCGGGAAACATTGCACTTTCAAACGCTGTGCAGTTTTGCGACAGCCATTAAAAGACAGATGTGCATGACCTGTGGATTTGATGAAAACACACTCACACACACACACACACATGCCGAAAAGGAGCACGCGCACATCACGCCACTCAAACTGGCGTCTAGGCAATCGACACCAGCGTCGGCGCAGAAGCAAGACTTACTGGCGTAGGCGGAGCAACCGTGACATTACCTGGACACCGAGTTGCCAAAATGGCAGTGTTTCTATTCAGTAGCATGGAAAGGGGGGTGAGCAACTCACGCTTAAACGAGGCGAGGCCACCTGAACGATCATAATCTTTTGCTCCGAACTGAAGGGCCACTCCTTCACGCGCGGGTTACTCAGTCTGGGGTCAGCCAATCGCAGCTGCAGGGGAGAGCACCCAGGCGAAATCGATCAATAAAAGAAAATAAGTGGAAAAATTAGTAGCAGCACTCATCTCTGGTGCATTAAACGTGGATTTTATGATCTAATGCATTGCGTAATGAACACGATCTACAAAGCAATCATGACGTAAATGTGTCAGCCAATGAGATAACAGGATTCGTGGGATTAAAACAAGGCAGGTTAGTTCCAAGGTCGTACCTTCGCTGTCAAGCAGAGCAGAGCCCCTTCGGTTGGTTGCCCACAAAGCGTACCGTCTTTGAGAGAGGCGTTGTTGCACAGGGCGCCGATCTACCATTTGAAAAACAAGCGGCAATCTAGAATGACAGTTGCTGGGGATTCATCTGGCTTCTGATTACAGTCTACGCATAGACGATACCACAACGCTTCGATGATATTACGAATAAGATGTTTACGGTACATTTGAAAACAACAGCAGTGATCTCGTAAATATTTAACATCAACGATTGGTAGATGGTTGGTGGGGCAGTCTAACTCTGTGGACTGGATACATTTCGTGCGATGGGAAAATTAGTGTTTCACTCCGCTTTGAATATTCAATTTGACCGCCCGAATCCTATTGGCTCAATATGTTTTTAATGTAACAAGTTGAAATAGCCTGCCAGCCGCAAATGATCGTGGTTGCGTGGCATTTCGCAGAGCCCCAAGACACTGGAGACAGCATCACGCCGGGAAAGATTAAAAGAGCATTCGTTGATCATGCAACGTGTACAAGTGAGTGCATGCATGACTAGCAACCTGACTGCATTTCGCCAAGTCAAATTTCTCCTACATTTGGTGGAATTAAAAGCAAAATTCAGGTCAAGGTTCAAGGTCAACCTAATATCCCGAGAATGCTCCTCAAAAGTAAGCAGAAATCGATTTTCAGTCATTTGTTTTACTGTATTCTCAAGGTCGGCGCGAGGTTCGAACAGCGTCAAACTCACCTCAGCTAGCCGACGGATATTGGCGTGATCTGCGGCCAAACGAGGGTTGCCCTGGTCAAGAGTGACCTCGCCGTTGGCAGAGGAGTAGCCCACACCCGTGACACTGGCGCGCTCCAGTCCACTGGTGACGACCCGTGTGACTGTCATCTCGTTCTTCGTCATTGTGCCCGTCTTGTCGGCACAAATCACGTTGACACAGCCTCAAGACAAAGCCAAACAGGTCAAATTAAAACATGTGCCTGAATACGTTCAACACAAAGCATTCCCAAGCATCGATTTTATTCGGGTAACGTTCACCAAAATGACAGTATGGAATCCCATGGAATCACAAAACGTAAGGCTCGAGATTTGGGTTAAAATTTTCTAACCAATGACAAGCGGCCACGGCCCCAGTAAACGTGGGAACGCAGACCAATCAACGTCGGCGAAGAAAATCCCCAGTGCATTCGTTGTGTCGCAGTGAAAACTCATTACTAGTCAGCAAAGGCATCCAAATTTTGGAAAGCGGTTGCCAGTCAGAGTGAAACCTTTCAATAATCTTGTGACAAGTGCTTCCACACGAGACCCTGTGGTCTGAAACAAACGGCAAGTCTACAAAAGTATTTTCGGGTGAAGACAATGGCTACGTAAACTCCTCAGGGCAGCCAACAGAATCGAAGAAGCACAAGGTCTAATAGCCCTTACCTAGCGTCTCAACAGCGGGTAATTTCTTGATGATGGCGTTCCTGGCGGCCATGCGCATCTGTCCGATGGCCAGAGTGACCGTCACCACGATCGGCAGACCCTCAGGAATCGCGGCGACTGCAAGGCTGAAGGCGAAACAAAAGCAGGCGTCAGAAGGGGCCGGGGACGAGTGAAGAAGCTAACAATACTAAAACTCGCCAAGCTCAATCGCATGTCGGTGGGGTGGAGAAAACAGAATCGTAACACACGTAATAAAGCAGAAACGTGAAACGCTGTGGGAAAGAACGGAAAAAAACACCGGAAGAGGAAAAATTCCATGAATTGAAAAGTAAAAATTGTTTACTAGATGAAGTCAAAACACCAATGCGTGAAAATCGAATTTGGCAGAACGTTGCTTCAGCCTACGCCTACATGAGTTGATCTAAGACAGATTTCGAAACTGCAGAATGAAAATAAATGTTGAAAACCTTTGTAGGATGAAGCCATTAAGTTTACGGTCTCTGATGGTGCAATCTTTGATTACTCAGCACTGGCAGACGGCATCTGCGCACAAGCCCATGGATCTACTGACTTGAGGTTGTGCTGAGCGTTTAAGTGAGTTAAAAGACGACAAATCAGATAATTGACCAGTTGAGTACACGCCACCACACTAACTCGTGCTAAAGGTGAATTATGAGTGACAAACGACAGACCCAATGCTCGGATCTGACCCGTAAAGGCAGGATTCAGGGATCAGTCTCTCTCACCTGACACCAACATTGAACAGTTCCAAGATATTGCGTCCTTGGATTAGGCCAACGATTATGATGCCGATGATGATTGCACCAGAAATGATGGATAAGTGTTTCCCCAAGCGATCCATGCTCTTCTGCAGAGGAGTGCGTGGGGCCTAAATAAACGCAGCATAAAACGTGAGAGAACAGTGAATGGACTACTGGGTCACGATAAGTTTTTACCTAAAGTTGAATTCTCACTCCAATTATACTACTAGGGGCACTGCCCAACTATGTCTGGGCAATTGTATCCTGGGTGATTGTAGCTTTTGTGATCGTCCACAGCTTGATTAGGTCGCCAATGCGCTGAGCAATCGTCAAAATGTAGGGTTAAAACCGGTTCTACTTCACGTTCAATGCACTGATTATCATCGTCACCTTCAGGCAATGTAGCTCCAAATAAGCGACGGCCACATTTGCTTTTTAACAATGACCTCGTCGATTTGGACTGCGGTTTTTCGATGTTCCGGTTAGCTTTTCACTTCTAGCGAAATATTCTCTTTTGGAGTAAACTTCACAACAGAAGTAAATGAAACAGTCAACAACAGTAGTTGGGTTTCTACCAGTGGCAGTTAATGTTCAAGAGAGCTCCAAATTACAATGATGTTCTGGCTTGAAGATACAATAATTGGGAGAAAAATTCGATTCCCTTTCGGCCTAACCGAAAGACTGGCAACTATTTCCCATGCACCTTCGCACCGGTGCATTCTACACACGGCCTTTCATACACAAGAACACCACAACACCATCAAATATGTGACAAGAATATGACTTCTAAAAGACGCCACTTCAGCATAAAATCACCAGTAAATCGCTTAGCTAATTGGGGTTGTAGGAAGTCATTTAAAAATGAACAAATACATCTACGCATTCGCACACGAAGGGCAAATTTACCTCCTCAGTTTGCATCAGTTTAAAGACCTCCCCGAATTCCGAGTGTTCGCCCGTTGCAATCACCACACCAACAGCATTACCCGCACGAACCAGCGTTCCCATGAATCCAATGTTGGTGAGACGATGCGCTCCCTGTGTTTGTTTGGGCGTCAACAGAGGAGCAGGCGCATCAAAAGTTACCACAGTCTCACCTAGGAAAAAAGGAATAAATGATTAAATAGGTAATTTAAGATGCAACAGGTTTACTGCGTTAGTATCAAAAACTCACCATCGGCCCACATTCCACCGGAACTGTTGGAGCGCTTGATCACAGAATCGCTGGGATTTTGGTATGCTTCAGTATTATTCGAGGAAATAGAAAGACATGGCCCAAACGACTGAGTTGATAGACAATCAGCATGCTTTGCAACGGCCTTAGTCTCCCCTGTTAAGTTAGATTCATCGATGCGTAAGTCTGAAGCCTCGACAATACGCAAGTCAGCAGGAACACGGTCACCGATTGAGAGGTAAACAATATCACCAGGAACGAGATCGAATGCAAGAATTGTTTGAAGTCTGCCATCACGTAAGCTTCATTACAGAAATGTTAACATTTAAAGCAGGCAAGAGAAAAAAAAATAGATTGGCCATAAGCTTACCAGTTGCATTTTGGAGGCATTAACTTCTTCAGGGATTCAATAGCCTTTTCTGATCTGTACCCCTGGATAAATCCAACAGTTACAACTACAAGAACAGCCTAATAATAAGGTTAGCATAAATCCAAATTCTAAATACCGTAGAGATGCTGATTGCATCATCAAACTGCCCCATTAAAACACTCACGATGGCTGACAGGATTAGAAGGCATATCATAGGTTCCATAAACTGCTTTATATACTTCAGCCACAAGGGGTCTTGATGATCTGCCTTGAACTCATTGGGGCCGACCTCTGTTAGTCTACGTGAAGCTTCAGTGGCCGATAAGCCATATTTTACGTCAACCTAAATCATGAAAAAGGCATAAAATGATATTACCGCCAAAATGCTAAGGACTTGATCAGCACTTTGTACTGATGCAGATCGACTTTTGATGAATGACACCATTGAAATGCATTAGAATAAAATCAGAGTAAAACTGTACAGCACCAAAATGGAAACGTGGGTTATATCGCTACAAAAAGGCACCACCTGGTATTGACCTTGACAGTAAGCAGCAGCAGTGACTGCTTTTGACATTTCATATCTTAGCTTTAAGGAAAAAATGAAATGCAATATAAAAGATTATAAATTTTTTATTAATTAAAAGACTTAAACTTTTGTAATTTTAATAACATTACCATAAAGTGTCTTTAGTGGGAATTTTGAAAACACAAGTGGTGAATCAGAATCGTTCTGTGTTTTAATCTAAAAAATATATTAAACATTTTTTCTATTTTTAATTGGCGTAAATTTTATGCGCGCGATTCCTTATGTTAACGTTGCCATGTATTGCTAGATTTATGATGAAACTAACCTCATTTCCTACACATCAGTACACGTGGTTATACAGAAATATCAGCCACCAAATATAATCATTTAATGTTTGATTGATTATGGAAGTGAATAAGTATCAAGAATTTCTAAAATCTAAAATATCATGGCGAAATAAAGTAGGTGTTGTGTGTAATGAACTCCTTATATGCGCATTTTTATGTAGGAATCTGCATTAGTCTATATTAAATTTATTTGCGCTAATGAAATAAACATCTATGAATGAAGTTGAGTTGAGTATTATTTTAATATTGGTCAAAAGTCAATTTTCAGATTGCCCTCTAGGACTGTCTTGGGCATACTTTGATTTTTTTCTGAGACAATGGGAAACGCTAAAGCATCATTAAAAATTTTTTTGTGCGATCAGAAATTTAGTCATGTAACTGATTTAGAAATGCGCACGAAAAAAAATTTTAATAGCGTTTTTACGTTCCCGTTTTTTACCACGTGGAAATGCTTGATCTTCTACCGTTAGAAGACCATTCTTGCAATGACTAAAAGTATATAATACGCAGTAAGTAATAGCAGAACCATTTTTGGGGATTTTCAGCTATAGTTATACTGACTTAAGATTGGTTGCTTTAAGATTACGAGTGTCACGTTGATTTAACTAATCATGGTGTGATCGACTTCGCAATACCACTTTTAGTTAAGCTTGCTAAATTTAATTGCAAACTTATTAATGTCCGCTTTTGTCGTTCCTAGTTTTCTCAGCAGCCTCGCCTTTTCAACTGTTATTTGAACAAATTTTTTTAAGGTAGAACTATAGTTTGCTCTTCATTTAACAAGATTGCCAGGCCAAAGACACAAATCAATTTCATTTAACGTGCAAGCTCTGTTTAATTTTCGTTATTTGTCCCCTTAGTATTCTGCGGCAGCAGGTCTTTATTGTGATTTATTAATCGGTTTCTACGACCCTTAATCTATCATAATTGTGCTAAGAACAGATATCGAAACACACTTCTTATTTGTACTAGTAAGAGGGTTAAGAGCTGCTCTGATTTCGAACTTTGATTGGGCCACTAAATCCATCTACATAGTTCCATTTTTAATAATGTCTTTTGGAATTTTATCAAATCCGGTAACACAAAATTTCCGTCAAAAGATGCTTCGAAAGTGAAGATTTATTGATTATCAATCAAAATTTATTGCACATTTTCTTATAAAATCAAGATGAACTTAAAACTCTGCTTCGATTTAAAAAACAGTCATTCTTCTGGAGGTGTTAAAAGCGACACCAGTGTCAAGGTCAAGGTCAAAATAAGAGGCCATCAAGAGGGGGGTAGACGAGAGGCTTCTCAACTGGCCTTGCGGGCACCGTGTCCAAATCGAGTCCGAGCAGGCGAATCCGCATTTCCAGATTGGTAATCATGTTCATATCATCCGCGAATGCGGCACTTGTAAACTAAAATGATTTTCAGCTGTTAAAACAAGCATTCAGATGCATAATTAGGTGACTCAGCACTTGAAAACTAACCTTTGCCTCTCGCAATCGACTGAATCCGTCAATCCACGCTGACTGGATGTGCTCAGAGGGCGCTACAAGAACTATCTGGTTGTGACGCTGTTTAGCCATGAACGAGCGCGAGATTCCAGTTGCGCCAATGAAACTCTCCGTCTCCTGTTCGAGTGGATGTTCCTTGTCCAGATTCAACACAACAGTCTGGTAAGGAGTTAGAGAATAAGAGCAGAATCTGACCGTGTTTTAATTAACCTTTATTGTTGGCACTCTTTTCAAATTACCTGTCACCCTATTACGCTAGCTGATTTCACGCGATAATTTTTAAGACCGTGGCTACGTGAATGAGGTGGTTTATCGTTCTGCTTCGATGTCCAACACTTTTGCATGAGATACTCCTAAGGACGCCTTTAGTTCTCACGTCTCGTTTCGTGTCAGTTACACATAATTTGCTCCATTCTCCATTCCAAACGCAACTCAGTTATTTGTTTAAATGCATCTATAGTGGTGAGATAGTCAAGTACGAATCAACTAGATCCGTTTTATTTGACGAAAACCTGGCATTGCCCAAAGACCAATCAGTCATGCGTCTTAAAAACGCCCAATCGAAGTTGTTTCACGTATGCTTGCTTAGCCAATAGAATGGAAACGATTTTAGCAGCCGTAGTTCTTACAGCTCAAGTCTTTTCATTAGTGATGTGCGGAAAACCCAGTGGATTCTGAGAAAAAGGTGCCTATTCAACAAAGTGCTGCAAACATGGTGGATTCTGGCGTCGCTGATGTGGGTCTGCTGGGGATGCAGGATTTTCCAAGACTGCTGATCGCCAATTTTTGTCATTATTTACATTAATTCCCTGACATCTGCTTTATTGCGCTTTTTACCAGGTCAAGGTCAACTGTTGACTTGAATTAGTGTGCACTTTTGACAACTCACTCCCCACGTGGCTGACGTGATTAAAGGTCTCTACTCGAGCTCTGGTCTTGTTCTTGCATTATCCTGGGAAGGTCGGTTCTAGCGTCGTCAAGGGATCTGGTAACGCTGTTTGAGTGGCAAACAAAACAAGGTCGAAAAGTTTTAGGGATTCCAAGTGAAGACGAAAACCCTTACCCAGTCACCGTGCTTGCTTTTTCGGTCTTCGGGGATCGAAGAGACAGAGACAATCGATGAAAGAGGCCCTTCAAGAGAGAAGCATTCAAAAAGTCTAGCAACTTGTACGCTATAACGCAGTAACACTCTTCTCTACTTGTCCATGAGTTCAGTAGTATATTCATTTTTCGTTATCTTAAGTCGCATGAATTCCGGTTTACAGCCAGTTAGATGGAATTTGGATCGGAAACAAGCAAATTACCACAGATATATGTAATTAAAACAAACATCCGAATTCTCTAATGTCTATCGTTCTTCACATTTCTAAATTTTGTCAAATTGGCCTTGAATACAACTGGAAAACCGGTGTTGGCATCTAACCGCGACAACGTCGACGCCGAGTGAAAGCGAAGATTTCGCGAAAATGCGAAGATGTGATGGCAGATAACGAACTTACATGTCTCCACGACGTGGTTACTTGCATCGCGAACGAGCAAAAGGTTCTGATCTGGTGACAATGACACCCGAAATCGTTGAACTTCTGGAAATAAACAGGAGTAAAATTTGGAAAATTAAATTACATTTCGCATGAAATTTGTCTCCAATGGCACAAGACTCCTTCGCCTTAACTGGAACTTCAATTGGGCAAACGATTTAATTGGTGGGAGAATACATTTGACCAATCAGGACCAGCCAATCAAAAGACGGTGTTTCAGGCAGGAAATGTATGTAGGGAAGAATACCTTTTTTCGTGTGTCTCAAATATTCCAATGGAGGGCCGTTGCTCATTGTGTATAACCTCTGCTTAGTAACGGTCGCAAAGTGCTGTTTGACCAAATCACGGTGGAGTTCCCTAAATAGGAAAAAAGTAGGTCCGTCAGAAGACGAATTATTTTACAGCAGTTTTCGTCCTAATTTGTAGTAATTCGTAATAAGATACAGCATGCTACTTGCAACTAGAAAGTAGCTTGAGTTTAATGGATGTACTTAAAAGAGCAACTCACTGAACGGCTGGATGATTTTTCTCCTTTTCCTCATCCTCCATCATCCATTCACGTCGAACTGAGTCAAGAGAAAAGTGTGAGAGATACCGAGCTAAGTCTTCAAAGGACGTATGCGTGCCTGACAGTGCACTCTTCAAACTTGTGCGCAGAACACGCGAAATCTTAAGGGAACAGACAGTAGGGAGGAGTAAGTCGTTTGTTGCACAGCAGCTGAAAACTGAGCTCTGGAAAGAGCAAAGATGGAAAAAGGACATTTGTTCCATATTTGAGCATGGAATGTTTTATGTTGAAATGGCACAAAGAAAAAACGTAGATTGGAATTTGACAAATTGACGAGTAAACTCACGATTTAGACCAATCAAAACGCAGAATTTGTACTTCAAGTAGCACAAATTACGAAGCGTAAAATGTGGTAAGAACTGTTCTTTTGGCGACTGCAATTCCACAAAATCGCCAAACGCAGTACTCAAACGGGCTATCAAGTGTCAAGCCCACAAAGTAAGACATTGTGGGTGCGACTGAGCGCTCAAATCGCCTACACCAATCAGAACGCCTGCAGATGAGGCTGAGTGTGCGTGTGTGCGCTGAATTCACTTTACGACTCGCCAACAAACGCCTACCTCTCACCTTCTCACTGCGCAGGTGGCATAACATTCAGCTTACCACAAGCTATCAGTAACACATGACGCAATTGGTTGCGTCCTTCCCCCTTTCTTTCATTCTTATTTTACTGAAATGGCGCTCTGTCTGGGCGGTCATTTTGAATGTCGCAGAACTACATGCGCAATATCGATTAATAAATCATTCCATAATGACAATACAAAGCGTTTCGGTATCTTTAATCTGAGGTTCGTGCTTACTTAGTCGGTGTGGACTCAATCATATCGTATTTCTTTGGCAACGAATCAGACATAGGACACGTTTCTGTTTAACATTGTACGACTAAGGGTTGGAGTTTCACGGAAAGATGGTTGACGTGTGTTTCAGCTGAGAGTTAACAACGCAAGATATTTGACAGACGTACACTGGGCATGTCACTAGGGGCAGCGTTTACGGCAAACCACGAGTCGTAAAATGCGTCGAAACAGTGGAGAAAAAGTTCAGCAAACACGGAATCTGCATTCGGTGAACTTTGGAAGAGAAGCGGGTTTAGCTGTTCCTCCAGCGAGGAATTACCTACAAGAATAGCAAGATTATTTTTTTCAAAATCTACATTTATGTCAATCTCAATGAACGACAGTTTGGTGAAGAGATTAATGCTCATGGCTAGCAGCATTGTCATCAAGATTTGCGCTACTTCACAACAAATTCGGGACTCCTGATTGGTTAAAACAGGTTAGGTTATGAATTTCGTTGGCACTCTGAAATAGTGGCTGTGGATACTGATTTCTTGACACTCCTGGATGAGCACTCAAGAACCGGGTTTGAAGACCGGTTAAAATCAGTCAGAGGAAGGTCTTTGTGTTACCAACAATTCCAAAGTGTTCACAGATCACCGTGGTAACGGCCTTGACAGCGGGTAGCAGGGGAAACGTCGGGCCACCTCCTCCATTAGCTGCGCCCAGCCAGGCAAGGACACAGGTTGGTGTCAGCGAAGCCTCCACCTCATCCTTCTTCTCCATCTGTGATTCCGAGATTCGCGACAGGATGGCCTCTGCGTTGAGAGCACCTTGACATTCCAGAATTCGCCGAACTAGGTGTGCCCGATGCTTCACCAGCGTCGACAGGCAAACAACCCCGAGATTACCAGGTGGCTGTTTGAAGTCGTCTTGCGGAATCTCCGGATTCTATAAGCAACCATTCAAAAACAAAGAACCGAACCTACCGAGAATTCGCATATCCGATACACAGTGGTCGTTTCATTTCCAGGGACCAAGTGGGTAATCTCCGGAGCAAGCAATTCACACAGGTCTCGTAGTGTCCGTTTTACGAGACCCTCCTACAAGCAGGTCTCATGCACGTTAAAATACAGACTACTTGTATTGTTTAAGTAGCGATAAATAAGTTCATACGTCAAGTGGGGCGTTCGCCATGTCAGCATACGGCTGGACGACAAACTTCTGGAGGCCAATTAGAACATCTTTGACTGCAAGTTCCATCGGATCAGTGGCGATTGGCACCGACTTTTCATCTGGTGTGAGCGTCGAATCGATCGGGGAACGGGGATAGGGCGCCGAAATTGGCAGTGACTCGGATTGCATGGAGTTCATCCTTGTGATACGCGCGAGTCCACCCGAAGACATCAAATTACGGCGAGACTTCAGGGTGTAGAAGATGTTTGAACTGCGCGAAACAGAGGAACTGGTCTCGTCACGTGATTCACCTTGAAGGGGCGTCGTGGGCTCGTTGTGGCCATCTGGATTGTCCACTTCTGCTGCAAGAATCTGAAGACAAATTTAACAAATTGGTCAGGAATCTGGCAAGTCACCATTTAACCTGGACGTTAACGATGTATGTGTCGTATTGCCATCATTTCATTTGTTTAAATCGACTTTTTTTAAAAACCACTGCCAATCAGGTGTCAGAAATCAAATTCCCCTCTCAGCAGGTTATCATGAGGTCAAAGTATAGAGACAGGTATTATTATGCTACGTACTTACGTGGATTTCCGATTAAACAATAATTAATGATTTCTGACCCACAAGACTGAACTGTGCATGAAACTGTCCAGCCGCCACATTTTGAGCAAAGCTGTGGTGGTCATCTAACTTGAGTTTTTTCGATTAAGTTATGTTAATACGAAACGAGGTTAGGAAGGAAAATACGTTAATTATGCAAGTATGAATTGACACCAAGAACTCGAGTAATCTCACCAAAAAGCATCGTTTTCTGCGCCAATACTGTTGCCAAACATTACAAAAAAACACAACTACCAACTTCAGCATCAATGATATAAAAATCGACATTTTAATCCTGGTCTGTAAATCAGCAATAAACTAAAAAACACAGAGACTAGTAGAAAAGTAAGGTTTATTGGCTGTTCTAGAGGTCATATTTTTGAATTATGAACCTGTAGTTTTCTGCGACTTAATTTGAGCAAACACGAACGCCTATTTAACCAAATATGACACTGTTCTTGTCTATTATTTGGCGCAATCAGCTCTTCTTAAACATTTCCGAAAATATTTTCATGTACAACGAGATCGTGGATCTAGATGATTCCGGCTTGTCATCAACCTCAACACAATGGGTTACTTACTACTTATGTGACTCAATTTAGTAATATGATTCATCGTCTTGTGTTGAAATGCAGGAGGATGGCATGGTAAGTTGTCCGGCGATTAAAAATTTGACTTTGGCAATTCCGATTAACTGCGATGCTGTCGAGCCAGCCACTTCGTGCCTAATTGTCAATACCCACATACCAGTCTAGTTACATCCTTTAGGAATTTGAATCCAAAACGCAGTTTTTTTTCACATATTAGAAATCGAGTCCGGCGTGGCGTCGTTCAATTTGTGGCAAGTGGACGCCTGAACTGGGGTAAATCCATGTACTGAAGAGGTCTAGTGACTTTTTAATTTGTTTGTAAATTTTAGTTCCGGTCAGTGGAAAAACCTGCGATAGAGATCCGTACCGAATCCATAAATCACGTCGGAAGATATCTGCCACTACGAACGAGTCTGCATTACGAACGTGTCAGAAGTGGATAAAGATAGGCCGGTAAGACCACCGTAAATCACGCAGCTGACGGATTTAAACATCACGCGGAAAAGCCAGTAAAGAAAGAATTAACCAAAGCATCCTTTAACACCTAAGTAGGCACAGCTGTGTGTGTGTCAAAATGCTTGGTTAAATCACCTGCTTGCTTTCATTTGCTTCGAAATGGTCTCATGGATGTTGAAGGAATTGGAAGCTGGTGGTAGCTTGCTTCCTCCCTGATCATTCACACCAAGTCACAATCTTCTCACTGGTAGCAACCTCACCCAAACCAACCACCAACCTGTATTTCCATGAACCTGTTAACCACAGACATGTAGACCTAAAAAAAACTTTCCGTTTCTATTGTTGTGAATCGTGTTTATTCACACCCCCTTAATCCGGTCGCTCCACCTCCGACACAGGTTTCCCCTTTTTGCGCGGATCCCCAACTCCCGCCTCATTCACACTGAAATTTATCGTGGATTATCCACACACCTAGATCTTGATGTTAGCGCATCTATGACTCACATATCCGAGGTATAAATACACACGCGCAAACCCCACACGACACAACGACACCAGTTTTGGTTGAGCTCTGAAGTAAACGGTTGTGTCCACGTCCTCTCCGATCTTTTTCTTCACCACGGGTACCAGGGAAACGTAATCGGGCCAGTGTTAATTCAGTGGCCCCCGCGTGGCTCAAGACCACATGCTGGGGCCCACAACACTATCAACTCTCGTCCACTTTTCGAGACATCTACTCAAGTCAACGTCATTAACCAAAATCTTATACCTCGACAACCGATGCAATGCAGTAGGAAGGTATCAAGTTGAGGACTTCGGTTATGTTGGAAGAGCAGGCTTCGTAGATGGCGTAGACGAGAGCCACGGCGAACAGCTGGATCTCGGTGATTCGTTTCGGCTCTGTGGTGGGCGGTGACGGCACGCACAGCGAGAGAGATGAGGGCGTGGAATTTGGAAAGAGCGCCTTCGGACGCACCGACAGACCACCGAGACGGCTGCTCGAACGACCCAGTTTCGATTGAGACTGCGACTGTGAAATGGGCGGCAGCGGCCTCTTGGTTCTTGGCAGAGGAAAAAGCGGGAAATTAGGTGAATACAACCGCAGGATGTGGAGAGATTTGACGCGGACCTACCGGTTTGCATCTACGGCTGTGTAGATGAACGATGAGACGTTGTTCTCCACCAAAACCCATGCTCGACACGGACTATAAGCGAGGAAAGAACACGCTCAGATAAAATTGAGCAATTTCCAGTAAAACTAACTGAAGCTAGACGTACCACGCCCTAACGAAGCTCAGCAAAATGAGGAGGTAGTTGCGGTAGGCGTGAGGTTCATCAGTGAGTGAATGAGAGTTCATTATCTGGAGGAGAGAGTTGGTGAAAATGATGAAAGGCTCCGGCGGTAGTACTGCAAACAAAGGGCTCGACCTAGAAGTGAAGCGTATTGATTCCGATGGCCGCATTCTCCCCTTCTCCTTTCCCCCCTGCCCGCTTCAATCACTTGTACTTTTACAAATTCACCATCCACATCAGCCACACACTACCTTGAGTGCACGCGGTCGCCACCACAGCTAGGTCGAGTAAATGACTGTGCCTTCTCTATCTCCTATGGTGGCCATATATGGACCAGTCTTGTAAGTGGATTGGATAATCCAACGTGCATTTAATTTCATCCATCGGAGAAAACAAAGTGTGGAAACTGAGCCACAGAATTCCGTGGACCGCTCACAACTCAAACTACACAGCAAGCTGCGTTTGCCCGAATTCCCGCGTAGTAAATTATGTTGATTCACCTCCAACAGTCCGGTCGTTGGATGTGACCGTTAGTCATGCGAGACCGTGTGTGCATTCATGCCTGTGCATCTACCTCCCCTGCAATCCGCCTCACTCCTCTGACCGTCAGTCAGCTGTACTTTTGCATCGGCCGACAACGCGTTGGCCATGCAGGACTTTGAAGTCACTCACAGACGGCACATCTAGGTTGGGCGACCTACTAAACTGACCTCCCAGGTCGACCCTAGATGGACGAGTCTAGGAAGACGATGGTCTAATTCATCATGTACTTCGCTTCATCAACAAATAGAAATGAAACGTGGAAAGGAATCGAATGGCTACTATCAGGAAAGCTTCGCTAAATAGAAAAAAACGAAACTAAAGAGGCCTTCAACATCAGCCGAGAACCATCAAAGTACGCGCGCGCAGAAGCGTTTTATTTCCCGCGCCCCGCTAAATGCCACAGTGCGAGTGATTTGGCGTTGTTTAAATCAGTACGCGAGTGTGGCATTTCCGGGCAAATGAGGCGGGACAGTCATTTAGGGCGTGTTGAACCGGATCCCACGGCGTTTGGCTGTCATAAGCTCGACAAATCAGAACGTGACAGTTTTTCCTGTTGATAGACGGGAGGTGGTGAGATCTGGATGGGTTACCGTTAAGTTTATGAAAAACGTGATCTCGGAGGCCGATTGTTACGTGGCGTGAACAGCTGCAACGCAAGCGGCGTGCGTGCAACTGTCTGGCCAATCAGCGCTACCTGTTTATTTTGGCCATTTACACACACCGAGCAGGCTGTCCTGGTGCGATTTCGATTTAATTTCGAAGCGTCTAATAATTTCTTGAAAATAATTAACTCATTCGCCAGTCGTCCAGGTTGATTCGGACGGTCTAAAGGGACGCAATTATGGGGGAATAGTGAGGTGAAATGCCGTTGTGAAAAGGAAATGAGAGATTTCGAGAGGGTTAGGAAATGAGTTGATAATTGGAGCCTAGCAGGATCACTGGAAGTGGTTACTAAATATCAATATCGTTAGATAAGAAGACATCAAGGCCAAATTTTGTGTGATTGTCGACCACTGAATCCAACCAATTACGAATCGACATGGCGGAGTAGTTTGGCGTTACCTAATTGGACAAGCGCATCTGGAGAGTTTTTTCATTAATGGAGCTTAAATAATGACATGAAGTGGGCACATGGAATACACATTCGGGTTTTCCAAATTGTCGGATTTGTTTGCTACAATAGACGATCAGTGGTTAAAGCAGATGATTATGGACAAGTTATGGAGGTTCGACTAGACTGTAATCTCCGTTACCTGGCACACGGTTTCGTCTGGAATCTGTTCCCAGTCGATGCCGACACCGGCAAATGGAAATGCAGTGATGTCGACCTCGGAACCGCCTTCCAGAAGAATCGGGTCGAAGGTGATCAATGCGGCCAATCCGGTGACGATGTGACGCCACAAGTGTGCACGCAGGTCCTCTCTCAAGCAGTCGCATTGGCTAGATAGTGGACAACAAAGTGGAATGCTCAGGAGTGCCAGGGGAATAAAGCGTGTTTAGCTTCCAGACGTTATCACGACGAACAACGCGGTTTAGCACCTTGCTATCATTCAACAGATTCATTTGGAGGATTGGAGGGCGTAGTGGTTTCTAATTTGCTCGTTCAAAGGGACACAATAAGCATCACTTGAAATCGGATTGTCAGAAGTAATCATATCAGGCTGATGCCTGCTAGCACTAATCGGCTAATTACCATCCTGAAATTGGACTCGCACAACTAATTTGAGGAATTCAAGTCCAGCAGATTCATGAATATGGCGGCATGGGAGAACTCCAGGCGTTTAACAGTATCTGGTGGCGGTAATTTGAAGAATACCTTCTAAATATGCCCTTTTTATTCACATCTTAATTACACGGTTACAGATGTTGGATCTTCAGCACTCGAACAAATACTGAAGGTAAATTCAATGCTTGAAGTTGGCCGAAGGATTTCCAAACCTTTTGACTGATCAAGTCAAAAGCTGCTAGCCGCCAATCTCTTCCAGTTTGATCGATGCCCTGTGGCTCGACCATGAGGGAACCATAATCGTCCATCTACAATGTGAAAGTCGGCCAACCCGATGAGTTGACGAACCAAAGCCATAAAACACTTTGCCAGAGAAAAATGGACCAGCATTTATCACAGAAATTTTCTAAGAAAAACGTAGGTGGGTGAAGATTACTGGACGCATCAGATTTCGTTCCATGTCAAAAGTCCGTCGCGATTCTGCTCAGAAGACGTATACGCGAGCACAGTGAAGATCTCGCAAGATTTTTTACCTTACATACCGAAAATGTGTGGTGGTACGGCAATGAGGCTCACATTTCATCCCGTTACAAAAAAACAATTTGCCGAATCTGTGAGAACGTCTACTCCCTTCTGCCTTTTTGCGATTAATTTACACGATTGAATCAAGTAAACTCCTTTGACGATTTGCAGTATTTTGTGTTAATAGAAGTAGAATTACAGTAAAGTGCTAACCTGGTAGCGGTAGCGAGCTCGAACAGCGCTGCAATGCCTCCATTGTCAACGAAATAAAGTGCGAATTCGCCACAGGACATGTATCGAAGCAATTCACCTAACCTATCACAAAGGTTACCGACTTCATCAAGTCGGGAGGGAGTTCGAAGACATTCACAAACACAGGCCAATAATGATTTTAGCTGATTGGACGATATATTCTAGTAAGAAATTCAGAGGATTACTCGGGTTTTCGATTTATTTTAAATAGTCCATTTAACTTACCGGAGCCTGCAAAAGCACGGCTAAATCATTTTTCAGAAGATACCGATTCTAATAATAGTGCAGATAGGGAAAAATATATGTCATTTACCTCATTAGAAATGTAGCTCACCAGTGATTCACCCGAAAATATTCCAAGACGAAAATCTTTTGGTTCAGCTGCAAACTCTTGAAATCTTCAAAAATATAAATTTGAGTCGAACTAAAGACGTTACTCATTTACGACGAATTCCACAATTTCATTAATGTGCGTGTCCTAAAAGGATGCTGTGACAATTTTATATAATCTAACCTTTGGAACTTGAAAAGTCTTTGTATTTGTTCGATATTTGACACTAAAAACGATTAGCTCACTCTGGACATAGTGGCCCAAATGTGACTCTTCGATCATCGAAAAAGAACACGAAGACCTAAATTGTGGGCAGGAAAACACAAATCAATTTCTAAAATAGAACATTCAAGCACAGCATTATTCGATTAGTAAAACATATTTATCATTCACTGAAAAAAATAGGACTCAAGTTACATTATACGTTAAACAATCGGACTAAACAGTCCATGACGCAATCTAAGAGAGTCAAAGGACTCCACACATGACGAAATGTTTAATTGCCTTTGCAATGTAGGTACCAGTAACACTTATATCAGTGACACCACATTTTATTGATGTCTAATCGAAGCGTTCATAAATTTAAAGCAAAACCCCCGCTACTATAAAGACAATATCAGGGCAGTGTTTAATAAAATATTATTTAAAAGATCAGCATAAAGCTGGGCGCAACGTTAATAGCCATTGCTATTTATTAACTGCGCGCTTACAGTTGCGCATTTTTTTCGGCCACTTCAAGGTCAAAAATATTGAACATTTCTTGTTTCATTTAAAATTGATTCCAGATAGCTACAACTAATCAAATACAGCCTTTGTAATTGCAACTACAGTTTTATGTACAATTTATGCCTACGAAGGGTGCTAGGAAATCCGAAATTAGTGTCTTCAGAATTGTTGAATAGATTTTAAAAGGAACACTTATTTCGAAAATTCAATTTTGTAATCCATTTATATAATGCTTTAATTACTAAAGTAAGTACGCAAAAGTTGCTAAAAAAATTTTACGTGATATATAACATAAATAAGGACCACTTATTTCTACTTTACTACTTTTAGTTTTGATTTAACCTAACTTTGCACAAAATGGTCACGAACGAACGCAATAAGTAAGGGCTGATTAGCGTTTTACGAAACGTCATTAAGTAATTGTGGCGTTTAACCTTAGTGGTTTTTTTTGATATCATTCAGAGTTATTAAGCAAAATATATTAACCGAATACAAGTAAATTGATAGGTATTTCTGATACGTTAAAAAACTTCATACTTTAGACTCCAATTTATCTTAAGTGGTATTACCCTCACTATCCTGCTTCAAAGTTCTAAAACAAAATATTTATATAATGACAATCAGCATTAAATTAGCCTTTTAAAATGAAGTCACTTTTAAAGAAATAGAGAAAGTGTGTATAGGTTCACCGGTTCATGTGCGCAGCTTCTTTTGTTCGTATGCTTATTTTTTATAAACCAGAATTTTATCATGTTGTCTCGTTTGCGACATCATATGGAACGCCGAATCTTGCTACATTCATTATTAAATTTGGACTTAGATATCCAATCAAAACCTTCTCATCTTCTGGCGTGCCGCTACGGAGAAAAATCAACATACGAGTGTAAGGTAATTTCCGTTATGATTTGATTTTTTGTCAATATTGATATCGTATACTTACCAGTCGAATTTCACAATTAAGCACACTTATATAAATTTATCCTTTCTGCAGTCCCACATTCGCGGATTGTAAATTTGTGCTTCCATACAATGTGTGTACGGTCGTCATTTAAAGCCCTCTAGTATTTTTAGAAAAAAAATTCTTTGTTTAAAACTAATCAAACAAATTCCTCTGCTTGCAGCTAATATCAACTAAAGTAAAAGCATAAATCGTGGGCATATGTGTCTGATTTTAGATATATTTCATGTCATGAAATTATTAACTCTGCTAATTGACTCGGCAAAGGTGCCCATTACCCAAATACGCAAAAGTAGAGACCTAATTATCAATTCGTTGCCTACAGTTAAAAAAAATGCTTTAACTGTAGCTAAAATTTTCCTGCACTTTGAAGTTTTGCAATAGTACCCGGATTACCACAATGGTACAGTGGCAGATTGATTTCCACCTAAATATTAAAATAAGCTAGCCTAAGAATGCAATCCATCGCCCTTAACAATCTGACTATGAAATCTGGAGCTGCTAACGTCGCACTACTATCTAGTTAACAGCGATCTGCTATACAAATACGTTCGGAGAAAATAATAAAGCGCAATAATAACAAAGAAGAAGGAATAACAATCTCTATTTCGAGTCATTCTAATGCCCATCATTTTCTGATCATTAAGAATAAATGCAAGTCACTTAATTAAAACTATAATAGCATTCAACATCTTAATGATTTTTTGCAAAGCAAACATTCACTTCGTATATCTACCACTTACCTTAAAATTTGAGACAAAATATTCAATAGTTGGAAAGTTGTAAGTTATATTAGATATCATATGATAGGTCAAATGACACTTGGACTGATGTAAAAGATGGTTCATTTGTGGCTTTTTAGTTTAGCAACAGTCATTTTATGGTTGATGACAAATAATTTTGTGTAATTAGGATAAACGCCAGATGAAATAATTGATCTTAATGCTGCCGTAGAAAATGCCTAAAAATCCTATATAAATTACAAACTCATCAATTATTTCCAAAAAAAAATTTTTATAGTCAAACTTTGATTAATATTTGCTGTGTTTGTATCAACGCAGACTATTGCGCGCTCTCTCCGGTTGCTTTTGTAACGTGCAGCCTCGCTGAAAATGCAAAACGATGCGGGTGAATTCGTGGATATGTATATCCCTCGCCGATGTGACGTCAGCAATCAACTAATTGGGGCAAAGGATCACGCCTCAATTTCACTGCGTCTAGCTGAAGTCGACTCGAAAACTGGTAGGATGACCGGAAAATACCAAACTTTCAACATATCTGGACAAATCCGCTCAATGGTAGGAATTTTTCCAATTTTTTATGAATTAGGGCGAATGTGATGACTCATTGAACCGACTTGCTATAAAAGCGAAGATGCTCCCAAAGTGAGTTTGTTTCCCTCGTAAAGTCATTGTGCCTTTTAGGGACTTCTGCGACAATTAGGTGAATGTAAATGCGTTGGTAAATACATGGTTTAATCAGATATCGCTTTTTTCGTTTTGTGGTATACCACAAATCGCTTCTAGTGGACGCAGGCTTCTGTATTTACACATTGGTGTCTGTTCTTTGGTTCGATGGTCTTGGTTTGTTATTCAACATTGCTGCTTGTTCACGTATTCACGCTTGTGGAAAAATGTATAAAGTTGCTAGCCTGATCCTCTCCTTAACGTGACGTATGTCCTGTTAAAGGCATATGCCGTTATTGAATCGAAGGCGCAATCCAAACATCCTTCACAATCACACTCAGAAAACGTTATCGGATTTTTCACATGCTTTATTTAATTCTTGGTGTTAGGCATCTAGGTGGCGCTATTACGTAAAGTTGTTTTGTAATATATGGTTAAACCTTTTGCCATTATTTTTTATTGCAGCTCGAGTTAGCTTGTGGTATAAAATTGAGTAGTTGTCAGTGTCGTCGTTTTGCTTTGTGCTGCAAAAGTTGCCTTCCCTGTATGTCTGCGCGAATTGAGCCATTAAAATTTATTCAAGAGAACACCGTGATTCAAGTGGTAGTAAGAGTGGTGAACAGATTTCTCAGAAGATATGCTTTCACGCAGTACGTAGTTGTCTATCAGTACGAATTGGTTTTTTAAATTTTAACGTTTGTTTACACCCGAACACGGGCTCCTTAATGTGAAGGAGTATAGTTAGTCATAGAAGCCGAACATGATTACACGTGGACGTAATTGCAAATATGCAATTGGTTTGTGGACTGATTGCTCTGAACTAGGCTGTGGTTCGCCTACTGGGATAGCCAGAAGTGACTGCTTTAAACTTATAGGACATTGGGGTTTGGCAATGATGCTGGCTATTTCCGTGCGGAATTAGATATGTGTCAAATTACGGGTTAGTGTGTTGAACAATGTTTTATTGTTTATTGACGAAAAATTAGTAAAACTTCAAGTCTATGTGACATCTACTTATGTCTATCAGAGCACTTTATCGAGTACCCTTGGGGATAAGTGAAGGTCTGGTCTATGTTGCCTTGTGCACGTAGAGGTCTCACCTGTTTACATTCTTACTAACTTATCTTAGAAATTTAAAGTACATTTCAAGGTGTCTAATTTGAGAGCGTATGGTCATTGGCCGTTCCGGTGATTGTTGTGACGATGACTGATAGTGTGTTAAGTGATACTCTTATAGTTGTGCGGAGCATAATCGTGAGTACCGTTTCGATTTAGAGGCTAGAGATTGGATGCGAATAAGACTGGCCGTTCACAGTTGGCAAGGCCGGTATAAGCTCGTCGGGAAATGGGACAATGAGCATTGATCGGAGGCAATGATATCGCACGGGACTTTTTTTTAATTATCTGACGCTTTATGGGATCCGGATTTAAGGAGGTTGTCCCGTTTAAGCCGTATTTGAAGAACTCGCTTGTGCAAGATGTCAAGGGTTCTCGTAATGATGTTTCCCAATACGTGCTTGGCTGTAATGGTAGTTTCGATTTTAACCTTTCTCCATCTCAGTGATGACTATAAACCACGCAAGACAGGGGTTGTCCTTGAACTTCTGAAGTAGCCTTTAAGTGGATGTAGGTCGCATCCGAATTTGATCGATGTATTGTCCTCCAAATGTGGCTAATTGTGTGTTGAAAAGGTTGTCTGCAGTCTTCTTGTTATACTTTAAAGGAAGCAAGATTGTTTTTAAGAGCACTTAATGGGATTTCGTGGACTCCGCCTGTTTTAATCTGGTCACTCCTTACGGAGCGCCTAATTCCCAAGATGTGTCAACACATCCTCTGCATTCGTTTTTATTAAAATATTCAAAATAAACTTATTTGGTTTACTCGGGATTTAAATATTCAGGGCTTATTATACCTGGCGGTGCTAACCTAATCTTAGTGATATTTAAGCTTATTTTCAAAAAGACTAAGGCATAACAAGGCCGTAATTTGAAAAAAACGTCAAGTCAACTGACAAGAGACTTGATAGTCCTGAATCAAGGCCAAGTGGGGGCGGAGTTGTGTTTAAAAAGGAGGGCAGAGTTGATACTCTGAAGCCTGGGAAGTGTCGATGCTCTCGAAAAATATGCGATCCATCTCCATCTTATTACAAGTTAAAAACGTGGGAATCAATGTTGTTCAGCCTAGCTAGGCGTCTACGGTTCGCTCAATTTACATAGTAAATTTCAATTTGAGTCACAGTAAATAGGTTTTAAAAAACTAAAAGCAAATATTGCAAAGGAGTAAGGCATCACTTCTGATGATATTTTACTTAAGTGGCCATTTTAAAAGAGGCGCAAAGCGTTTTATACACTTGTGCCGTTAGCCCCAGGTGTCGCTGCTTCTAGTTAGGGGGTGCGTTTGTAAATATGGGCAAACTTATTAGCAGTTAGAAATATTTTGCAGATGATTAGGCCTTTAAGTAGTTTTGTTCCTAATAGAAGAGATAATCAAGAGAGAAATTGACAGGTTTAATATTTAGATGCCCCGAAATGGTTGTAATTTTTTTGACAGGTTGTTATAAAACCATTTTAATATGCGTTTCTGAACAAAATTTACATAAATGGGTGGTAGCAATTTCAGATATTAATTAAAGTTATTTATTGAGGTGAATTCAGCTCGTCAGACACACTTTTACAGTGTGGGCTGAGTATATAAAAAAAATGCAGCGTGCAAACCACGTGCATTTTTCCTCTAATGAAGTTTTTAAAGGACAGTCTCAACATCACTGTTAACTATAAGTTTAAATGACAATAAAAGGAATACCACTTTCGTAGCAAATTCCAATTAGTAAAACAGTGTTTGTTGGCAAGGGGATAGAGAGATTATTCAAAAAGCACTGGAAATGAATGGAGTTGATGACTATTTAGGGATTAGATTATGTGTTAAACGCGTGTGCAGAGAGATCTATAATGGACTTATTGACCCATGGGTGTGACGATAGGCGAATGAATGTGGAGATGTAAATTGAAATCGCATATGAATTACTTTGAAATTAAGGGTTTCCCATATTAGTGTATGTTAATTAATGTCGTGTATCACGAAAGTATTTTTAGAACTTACGTCAAACTCTTGCTAGACTATTACAACTTAATAGAGTTTACATATGCATGAATACGAATATTTCATATCAAAGCAAGCATCCAAAATTACTGCCTATGTGAAAGAATTGCGGAAATGTGACCGACAAACGGATGGACTTGGAAGCGACATAAAATTTACACATGTAAGAAGTTAGCGTTACTAGCTTTACTATGTTATATCATGAAGCAAAGTTTTTGTTTTCAAATTAAACCTGTGTACTAAGCCGTTATGGAACATCTACACAACATTGAGTATTTTATGCCTATTTGTGGTAGATGAATTCCAAGGGAAATACCACAAGCTGGTACATTTAGAATCGAATATCATGAATCACTGACATGAAAGCACTGTCAACAAATATTAACCCTGATTATCAGATGGATATTTTTCTATAACAGCAGATGCAATTCTATATCGACACGAAGGGTATCCGAACCCGTCTGGTACAATCCATTCGTTTCTTTTTTTGCGTTAAAGATATACGTTTAAAAATTTTGCAATACCTTTAGAGGATTGAAATACTTTGAACGCATTTTACGAAAAAAGTATCTTAAAGAAATGGATGGAACAAATTCTGAGTGCACAATCTGATTTGATCATGTCAATGGTGCAGTGCTTTCTCCTCAGGATTGGTTACCGTACCATTATTGGTAATTACTGTAGTGTTAGAGTTGTCAAATAACGGTCGTCGTTGCACCTGGTGTAAGTGTTGCACATATTTTTTTCCTAATTAGTATTCTTTATTGGATATTATTTTGCACACTGCAACAAGCTTTAGAAATTTAGTACACAGTATGTGTGATAAAAAAATTCATAATGAACCTTTTCTGGCATCAGACCCACTACATGAAATAATTAAATATTTCTGCCAATGAATTTGCGAGATTTCTTTTGGTTATAAATTTACATTAAATTTAATGGTGTGCAGCATGGCCTCCTTTTTTTCTTTTAAAATACTATACCTTGTAAGAGTAACTCGTCACGGATAAAAAACTATGCCCTTTTAACCTTGATCAAATGCTGGAAATTTTCACGAAAATTGTGCCTTGCACCTCACCAGGTTCTGTCCTTTAATGTGAAATCACATTTTTTTTAAAAAGTGACCTCAAGTTAAGGTCCCGAATTGCGAATCTCTAAATTTGTCACGACGTTTTTTTCAAGACTATTCGTGTGCTATTATGGCGCTCGACTGGTTTTTCTCCAATCGTAGTCAGAATTTCAGGAGACAATATCTTTGAAGGCGAAATGCTATAATCAACGCTTTTATGCAGAATACCGCGCTGATTTTAGTGCCAGGCACCCAAGTTTCGCTGCCGCTTTTTTAACATATTTGTAAATTTGTAACAGGTAGATTAGAATTTTCGAAGCTTGCCTTATCTTTGCGGTCGTTTGAATGCACGGACATCCGTTTTAACCACCCATTAGTCATTAATTTATACTTAATCAATGTGTTTAATTACGTTACACTCTTTTTAAAGCCCAATGCAAGAGTCCGTTGCTCCATCGGTACCCACAAAATCTAAGGCTGAACTAAGACGCGAACGTCGAGAACTGCAGGTACGTTAACAGAGTAATGTCAATAAAATCAACCTAACTGTGGTGAGCCAGACTGATCGAAGCAGCCATCCAACGTTAATGTCTCCAATATTTCTTTAGCCCCTCAATCTTTGCGTACCTTTTAGTCCTCACTCTGGTTCTAGTAGACGAGTTTAGTGACGGCTGACGTTCAAACCTGCTTGTTGTTTCGATTCACTCAGGAGGCCCAGCGAGCTGCAAAGTCGGCTGCAAAAGCGACCGCGAACGCCAGTAAAAATTCGACACAACCAGCACAGGGCCCAAAAAAGCAGGAGCAGGGTGTTTCGGACGCACCCGTCAAACCACAAGGGGGCCAAAAGAGGAGGCCGCAAAAGTCCGATGGCCATGCACCCTCTACTCCTCGGAAGGACTCTGCTGGAGACCAGTCGGTCGGCAAAGGGGCCTTGCCCACCTCTCCGCAGCCAACGGCACCTACGAAAGCCCCAGCTGCAAGCGGCGGCGGCGGTGGTGGTGGGAGCAGTGGCGGTCAACAAGCTCTGGGAGTTATGCGAATGGACGATCCAGCACACTTCAAAAAATCCATTCGTCAGTTACACAAGAAGATGCTGCAGCCGAGACCACAGGATCCGGTGCGGGTGAATCTCTTCTGCCACCTTAGTCAGCCGGACAAGAGGGTCGACGTGCTTGGTAAACTGAAGTAAGAAAACCTAAACTTCTTTCATGACACTTCTAGGCGGTTCTAGCGCTTTGGTTCTTCAGTTTAGGCGCTAAATCCTCCATCCACCCGGCCTTTCTTGCACTGGGGGTTGATGTAGACGAGGGACGTATTGTGGGCTCGAATCGTCGTTGCATCGAGTTCCTACGGGCAGTTGTAGCTCTGATCAGTTCCTTTCCATGGTCGGACCATGCAGCTGCTGGAGTTAGTCTAGCGCGAGCCTTCCACACCACCCTTGATCGTCACGTGACATTCCTGGATCAGTGCCGACCCCTTCCTGTCACCGTGCGGAACGCAGTCCAATTTCTCAAGATCGTCCTCAATCGAATGGACTCGGTTTCTTCACCGGATGAGGTGGGTGCATTGCGCACTGGGTCATTCATGTTAACGTGTGTTTTTCCTTTAATCTTGCAGCTCGTGATTTGTTATGCTTTAAGATGCACAACCAGTTGATTGAAGCCGTGGGTGGATTCGTGAACGATCGCATTCGTCTCGCGGGCAAAGCGATTGCCGATATTGCCGCCGACTCAATCCGTCCAGGCGAGTTGGTTTGCGTCTTCGGCCATTCCACTCTTGTTGCCGAGGTACTGGTCACGGCGTGGAACTCCCGAACCAACAACTTTTCCGTCCTAGTCGTCGATAGTCGTCCGCGTTGTGAGGGTCGTCGAATGTTCACACACCTTCGCAAAGCCGGTATCCCCTGTGAACTCGTTCACATCGCAGCCTTGCCCATGCTAGCTCCCAAGGTGTGTCATTAATCCTCGTCTATCGCTTTTCTCAGTTACTCTACCCTGTCCAAGTCTCTTTCGTTGATTCTCCCAGTATAGGAAATCAGGCAAATTGATTGGTATTGCTGGCAGGAACGATCGTTTAGTTGGCTTATCTATCTGCACAGACAAACTATATTTACACCCACCTACCGAACCCGTTTGCACTGTCTCTGTCTTCCGTTTTGCAGATCTCTCTGACTCTTTTGGGTGCTCACAGCCTCCTAAGCAACGGCTACGTGATCGGAGCCATGGGGACGGCCCAAGTGGCTAACATAGTCGCATCTGTTGCCCACACACCAGTCCTCGTCTGCGCAGAGACCTACAAGTTCTGGGAGCGAGCCCAGTCCGATGCCTTTGAGTTCAACGAGCTCGGCGACCCGGACGACATTTGGCGCGGGCCGCGGGGCACCCAGGACGATTGGCGAAAGCCGCGCGAAGGCAACCTGCCGTGCGAAGGCGATGGACTCGCGAACTGGAGGGAGGCGAAAAATCTGCGGCTGCTCAATCTTGTCTACGACGTGGTTCCGCCGGAACTAGTGTCCGCGGTAGTTACCGAATTGGGAATCCTTCCGACTACCTCAGTGCCGGTGGTTCTGCGCGTTAAGCAGGCATCTGGAGACACCGACTGTTTCGTTAGCCCCATCTTGACTTTATAATTCTGCAGGAATTTTACCCATGATTATACTACCTCTGATGATGGTTGAGTTTTTAACATCTGTGTACTTGGAAAAGACCACAGCTTACGTGTTAGATTGGCGTCATTTATTCGACACTGCTTGCGTTAAGCACAATTGGCCCACTCATGGGATGTTGGGAATTATTTGAACCTAGAAATCGATAGTTTCCTATCCGTAAGAACTCAAAAATAGTTACTCATTGACTTACTAACTAGACTTGATTTATACGTTATTTGAACGTCTTGAAAAGGCGCAGTTAATTTGGGTTTTTTAATATGTTGTTAATAATATACAAATGTTTATAAATTTGGTTTACGACGATGAAGTTGGCCGGAGTTTGAAAGTGGAAGAAGCTACAAAAATCAGGCGGTTAGTAAAGATTGTTCCCTAGTATTCTTCTTCTTCCTCTCCTTCTCCTTCCACGGTGTCGGCTCCGACCTCGTCGTAGTCCTTTTCCAGGGCTGCCAAGTCCTCTCGCGCCTCCGAGAACTCGCCCTCCTCCATACCCTCACCGACGTACCAATGAACGAAGCAGCGCTTCGCGTACATCAGGTCGAACTTGTGGTCAAGGCGCGCCCAGGCCTCTGCGATTGCTGTCGTGTTGCTGATCATGCAGAGGGCTCTCTGGACTTTGGCGAGGTCGCCTCCAGGCACCACGGTGGGCGGCTGATAGTTAATTCCGATCTTGAAACCCGTTGGACACCAGTCAACGAACTGGATGGTCCTCTTAGTTTTGATCGTCGAAATCGCGGCGTTGACGTCCTTGGGGGCAACATCGCCTCGATATAGCATGCAACAAGACATGTACTTGCCATGGCGTGGGTCGCACTTAACCATTTGGTTGGCTGGTTCGAAAGTGCTGTTGGTTAATTCGGCGACGCTGAGGCGTTCGTGGTAGGCCTTTTCTGCTGATACTGTCGGTGCGTAGGTAACTAAGGGGAAGTGGATTCTAGGGTATGGAACTAGGTTCGTTTGGAATTCGGTCAGATCGACGTTCAGGGCGCCGTCGAAACGCAGTGATGCTGTCGTCGAACTGATGATCTGTGCAGCTAAGCGGTTCAAATTGGTGTAGGTTGGCCTTTCGATGTCGAGGTTTCGCCTGTAATAAAAGCAAATTGTGAGAAGACCTTTAGGCGTGGATTGTCTCAACATAAGCTAAAAGTACCTGCAGATGTCGAAGAGGGCTTCGTTGTCGACCATGAAAGCGCAGTCAGTGTGCTCGATTGTGGAATGCGTGCAGAGTATGGCATTGTATGGCTCGACAACAGCTGTGGCGATTTGAGGTGCAGGATATATGGCGTACTCGAGCTTGGATTTCTTGCCGTAGTCGACACTGAGTCGTTCCAGGAGTAGTGAAGTGAAACCTGAGCCAGTACCACCGCCAAAAGAGTGGAATACGATAAAACCCTGCATTCCCGTGCACTGGTCTGCCAATTTTCTGATGCGATCAAGAACTAGGTCGACAATTTCTTTGCCAACGGTGTAGTGGCCTCGGGCGTAATTGTTGGCGGCATCCTCCTTCCCGGTCATAAGCTGATCTGGGTGGAACAATTGTCGATAGGTGCCGGTCCGTACCTCATCTGAAGAGGCAGATGGATTTAAATATCGGTAATGACATTAAATTGAATCCGATTTGGGTTAAATGCGCTACCTTACCAATGACAGTTGGCTCCAAATCAACCATGACTGTCCTTGGAACGTGTTTACCGGCCCCGGTTTCGAGGAAAAAGGTCGTGAATGAGTCATCGCCGCCTCCGATGGTCTTGTCGCTAGGCATTTGTCCATCGGGTTGAATTCCGTGCTCTAGGCAATAGAGCTCCCAACAGGCGTTGCCTGTCTGGACTCCTCCCTGGCCAATGTGAATGCTGACAATTTCGTGCTGTAAAACAAGGTTCGAACGTAGTTGTGAGAAATCAAGGAATCACAAAATCCAAAAATACTACTTTACCATAGTTTTTCGTTGCTGCTGCAAATTAGAAAGAAAGGTGACGTCCAACTGTCCGTACAAACCTTTTACTAATGCTTGCGTGTAAGCGCACAAAATTCAGAAAAATCCGATCGATCCGCTTATTTTGCCTGCATTTATCGACTTTTTAAATATCAGATCAGCTGACTGAGTTGGTGTGAAAAATGGCAAAAAATACGTTCTAGCAGGGAACCCGTGTTCGCGTTTAATAACTTCCTTGAAATGCCAACGTTAGGGTTAATTACTTGACTTGAGGAAGAGGGAATGTGATAAACAAATGACTCAATGAAAAAACAGAACACATTGCTGATCTCCTAGCAGTTAGATTTAATTCCAAGGGAATTTGAGGCATTTTGGTGTATTGGCTGGCACTTGTGCAGCTTAATTTGGGCTCCAATTGTCCAAATTTTCGAACGAAGATGTTTGCGATACGTATATTGGCGCTTAAGTTAGCCACGATAAGGTCTGACTTGGAATGGATTAAGGAATCACGTTTCTGTGGTAAATTGTGTCGAGGTAGAGACCATTATAAGTTCCATTTAGCTTATGCTTCTTACTCTTCATACCTGGCTGCTGATTTGCCTTGGTGTAAATGAGAGGAAATTGGTATTCTTTGTGACATCACAGCAAGCACGACACTTCTGAAAACACCCTCCATTTTGTACTGACGAATTTTTAGTAGGAGCGTTAAATTCGAATGTTTATTGTTCATCCAGCGCCCTGGTAAAGGATCCGAAAACAACTTCTCGTGGAGAAAAATAGCAAAGAAATTCAGAGGTTGCAAATCTATCATGTCTGAGGTGTTTACTTACATTCCTTGTTGTTATTTAATCTGCTCTTGGTCGCCATAGAAATCATCTAAACAAACAATCGAGTAACCGTAAGTGGCTGGCGCTTAGTCAGAGCTTGCGGCTCCTGAGAGTTATCGTTCGACTGACCTATGAAGAGGCAAGCAGGAACCATCTCAGATTGTAACCTACTGATAAATAAAAGTAGCACTTACGAATAGGAGCAGTTTTTGTAAAACGGGTGCAAGGTTAATAAATTTGTTCCACTGGATTTGGGGGATATTTCAGTATGAAGATGATTCGTTTGCTCATTCAGTAATCAAGTAGACCTTGACGTATGATTGGGTACAGGGACAAACGCTTTAAGTCGTGCCAAGCGAGCCACTGCGATTGTGACGCCCTGAAAAGGCGGTCAGTGTGGCGGAGGATACGACGACTGGGTTAGTGGACGTGAATCGTCAAGATTTACTGCAAATCCCTATATTTTCACTCTCACAAGTTCGGTTTTGGGCGCTTTATTTCAAGGGGAAGCACCGACCTCGGTTTGGAACGTGTCTGTTTGAGTATCGTGGATAATTTCGCAACCACCGAACGGCATCTGCACTATATAATTTGTATTTTGTTAATATCCGCCTGGTCGCATCCTCAGTAAATCAGTTTCAAATATCCCCAAAGCCCGACAATTCCTAGTCGCTTGTTGGTTTGCTGAGAATTGAGATTATCAAGTGTTAACTAAATTTCGTTTTGCGGAAAAAATTTTGGCTTCATTTTGTGTTCCAGCTTCAGCATATCTTCCAAAGTTTTATTGTGTGAGTTTAAGCTCAAGTGATACACAATGAAGGAGAGGCTTCACCATTTCTCGTTCAACATGGTCTCTTGGAAGAAGACCAATGGTGCCAAAAGTGAGAAAAGCTGATGGCAGTCGCGTTAGGAATCGGGTGTTCTCGTAGCATATCCAGGTTGATACAACGCGGTGACAGTGATGTGGTTCAAGGTCATATGTTGGTGCTTAAAATTCACAAACAGGAAGATTGGAATACTTAATTCAGAGGGCAAGGAGGCGCGGGAGCAACGAGATGGCTTCTTCAATTATTGTGCATTTGAGGAACACTTGAATTTGAAGACCTAGTCTACCACAGGATCTACATTGAGTCAGTTCTCGCCAGATCGTTGTTTCGCCTATTCAAGTTCAACGTAGAAGTGAAGCGCTGCTATGGGTACAAATCCGGATTTGATCCCACTCTCGTGCCGCATAAAACCGCGCTGAAGCGTCTACTGATGTGGTTTCACGCTGTCGCCAATCACAGTTGGTGCTAATAATTTAAAATGTCAAATTCAAAGATTAAATATTGCAACCTCGTCACAAATGTTTCTGAGGCTGATTGTGAGTTGTGGAATTACGCAGATGCACGCTCAAATCGCATGCATGTGATCAGATAATAGTGGCGAGTATTTTGACTATCGATTATGGTAATTACACACGTTAAAATTAGACCGCATAGTCCTCGTGATGATGGGTGTGTGATAGTTGAATCTTGCTTGCAATGTGACCATTTGCCTTGCCGCCGTATCATCGAACGCTCACAGAGTGTGAGCCGAACTGTGATTGGTTCAAGTTTGCAAATGAAACTAATTGGGGCTTAGGTCTGCAGTAGCACGCGAACTGCCTCCGTTTACACAAAGATGAGCAAAGAAGACGGCAAGAGTAATATGTTTTTTTTACTTGTTTCCTTTTGCCTGGATTCAATAATTTTCTGTGAATTTTTAGTGCTATAACTTTCAGCACAAATGATTTATCGTTATGGATGTTTTAATATAATTTTTTTAAAGTTCGTCTTGCTAAATAAACCCAACGTGTTTACGGTCAAAGTTAAAGCAAGAAAAGTGGAATTTGATATTTTATATTTTTAAAACAAAAGCACAATATCGAAACAGGATACTAATACCTGTAAGAACCGTGAACTTTCTAATAGAAATTAAATGCCATTTTGCTTTAGGAAATCATAAAGAAATCATTGTTAAGACATTTTTTTACGACACAAGCATCTCAACTATCAAAATGTTGATAGTGACACTTGCCATTGGAAATACTCAGTACACTTCTGGACAGTAGTATTCATTATAACTCTTCCCAATAGCTACAAGTCGTTAGACAATTCAGGGAAGAAATCGTCAAATCATAAAGAAATCATTGTAAAGATATGGATATACGGAGAGGTATTTCTGTTGCACCAGGGTTCTCTGTTTAAAAACATGGCTAATCCTGTAGATGACGTTGCTACTAATTTCCAAAACATATCATATTTACGTTTTAAAGAGAAAATGGATAAAGACAAAGAAATGGCATGTCTGATTATCAGTCGGGAGTAGTTTTAACGCAAATTCATTGACCCATTTTAGTCAGCGACAGGAAAAGACATCAAAAGACGGTAAGTGGGGACAGGGCGGAAGGTGCAGACATTGCGGTTGATTCGACTTAGACCAGAAGAACCTTGAGCTGTCAATCTAACCAGCGTTTACAAATGGCGCGAAAAGAATTTTTTTTGCTAAAAGACGATCTGAATGCTGGTTAGTGGTGTTTATCCAAACGAGACTATTAAAAATAATTGTAGAAAACTAACGCCACGTACTCACTTAGTTGTGCTTGAATTTCAGCTGATTTTCACCGTCATGAACACATAACGTTCAGACTTTCATTGTGAGGTAGTCAGACTAAATGAGCTGAAGACGTCACACTTGCAGTTGCATTTTTCTGAAGAGCCTCTAGTGTGTAGCACACACTTCTGGCTGTGACTGGAAGCACATTTAGCTCGCATTCAACAGATACAAGTTTTTTTGCACCTTGGAGAAGAAGAATCCGTCAAATATGGAGAAACGTGAAAACACCTCAGCTGCATCATTACTATTCCCGTGAAAATTAATAATATGCATGTTAAAACAAGACTGTATAGATGCTTATATAACATGAGATGGAAATTAATGATAATGACAGCGAAATTGCACCTCTGCCTATAAGTCAGAAAGCTTGCAAAGTCCTTTCATTTGACGAAGGTAAGCATTTTCAGGTTAGTCCAAGGAAAACATTTGAGGTCATTGCAGGTTAATCAGTAAAGTTAGTTGAGCTTAAGAGGTCACACAATTTTAAACCAGAATCAATGTCATGACAACGACTATATTAGTGAATTGACAAACATGTAAGACGTTCACACGATGCTTTTCTAATCTTTTTAGCAAATGACTCCGAATATGCCGCTCCTTTTGAAAGTGTGGAGAAGAAGAAAGTGGGGGGTAAGGTTAATGATTTTCCGCAAACTGATTTATTCGTGTGCGTGATCTGGAGACTCAGTTCAGATCACAAATTTCACACATTCTTCTGTCAAATTTGCTTAATCGTGCACCTATTTGGTTTAAGTGATATGCATTGACTTGCGCCTGCCAACTAGCATGAATGTTTCACCACGCTAGAGGCAGTCGGCTGGCTAAAACTTAAAAACCCTTCAATGAGCACTTCAACGGGTTGCTGCTCTTATCGTTTGTGGCTACATGAATGTTAAGTGGCGATAAGCCCACTGCTTAAAGGGTGGATCGACTTGTATCTGCGGTGTCCTTTTATCCGCCGGTCCACTTCGAACTTTCCAGTATATTTGGTTTAACTACCCAAAATCACTAACATCTTGGGCCACTTTATCATCGATTTGAGCAAGCTGTGATCCGCCTTCGATTTGAGTGAACTTGGCACTGGGGTGTGAATGCGGCAGAGCACAATCCACTCACGAGTGTGGCACAGCTCAAACATCGCTATGATAATAATAACATCACACAGGCATACTGTCGTGTTTCCTCCATCGGTTAATTGCTATGCCATCGCACTTGGAAATGATGGAGGCTGAGCTGCCTTGATGTTGGCACTTGAAACATGAAGACGTCTAGAACGTCTGCACCAGTGACTGAAGTAAGTCTGTACTTGATGACACTGGCCAGGGCACTTCGACAGAAACCTTAGTGTCCAAATAAGCATCTTCCGTTAACCACTTACGCGAACATCCAAGAGCCAAATGCAACAAGTGGCAAGTTAACGGAGGTGAAATTATCCACATGACGGTTTTTTGCTAAGTTGGATTCGAGTTGTCTGCGTGAACTGGTTGCAGCCAGTAGGAATAATTAACGTGTTGGTGCATCTGTGAGGCTCATTTGGCC